AGAGATCACTGTTTGGTGCTTAACAGATATGACTGTGGTGAAGACCTAAGACTAATGGGGATTTTCTTCACTCACATGTCTTCTCTCTTTTGTTGTGTATTCTCCAGCCTGCAATATTCCAGCTGTACCACTGCTGCCTGTAATTACTGTAGTGTGGACCAGGCAAGCCAGTGACTAGGCATGATCAAAGACCTGTCATGACACACAGGCCAGTCACAGAGCTTGACAACCCGTGCCAATGTTGTTGCCCTACGACAAGCAATGGTTGGTCAGGCTTTGTTGATGCATGTCATCATGTCCCAGTTGTGTGGATCGATGTTCATGATATCAATTTCTGGATTATCTGGTACAGACTCGATTATTTACAGACAGCCGTCATATAGCTGGAATATTGCTGTGTGCAGCGTTAAACAACAAACAAACTAAAGATTTATGTACAAGGTGACAATATTTGCGATCGGGACAGCTGAGAGATGCTGTACTGCTCACTATCACTCTTGCTGCAGCAGTCATTGTGGACACTTGACTAGTTATAGTGGAAAGTTACAAACATTGATATACCCCATGGAGTACAAATATTGCTGTTGGGAAGGTCTAGAGAGGAGATGCAGATTTTCCGATCATTTTGTAAATAAAATAGGTCATAACTGGGTGAATCCAAGATATCCAGGTCCTGACCAGACAAACTAATGTCCACTCCGACCACAACCCTTATTGGAAACAGATGTAAATGTTATTACTGAAGACAGTAATACTTAATAATGCCCTGAAGTTCCAGGTATGTAAATGTGTAAAACATCTTAATTTGTATAATCATACCATGCTTATTTCATCATGTCTACACTACTATGCCCAATTTACTTGACACATATGTTAACATTCAATACAACAAATTTGATTAAGAACTGAAAAAGCCAAGACAATGAACAATGATGAAGGTTTATTGGATAGGAACTATTGGCCAATGAACAAAGATTAGTGATGGAACTAAAGAAGGGTGTGGCTCTGGATGTGGTCCAGAGTCAATGCTTGCCTCTCACACACCCTCTTTCTCCTCGACCGACCCCCCCTCCTCTGTGCCCCCACCGATAACGTGCAGGGCTTGCTGGAACCACCTTGCTGTGCGTCTTCACTGTTTCGGCCTGTGTTTGTGAACATTTCTGTATCACTTACTTTGAAGCCCCTGGTAATTAATCCCACGCTACTTGGCTAATATTTACAGCTCTTAGCTCGTTAAACCTCTTCCATATGGTGCAGGAGGGAAATTAACAAGGGGATATTGTTGGTGTAGTTTTTTATGGGATATGTTGCATAGGAATCAGTTTCCAATAGTGGCAGTGTTTTAGTAAGGTGTTTGTGTTGAACATAGTTGGTTTCTGATAGTCTTAATACTGTATCAGGGCCTCTGTTCCTTCAGACTGATTTGTGGAGGAAGGAATTGGAAGCCGCCAGTTAGGAGGGTGTTGCAAGTGTTTGTAAGGATTGGTTCCTACATCAACCATATGGCTTTGCAAAAATTGAAATGTTGACAGCAAGGCAAATTAAAGTGATCTGAGAACCATCAGTTCTGCTCTACTGTATTTCTGAAAAAAGAATTTCCTATCTCTTTCAATATTCTAATCAATGTCACAGTTTGAAATGCCAGAGGTAGAAAAAGCTTATTTTGTGAATTGCATCCCCAGCCTGCTTGACCTGAGTTCTTGCCGTGCTGGTATTAGTCTATCTCTACACTACCCTTTTGGCAGACATGTCACTCCACAACTTGCTTCACTTTGATTTAGTCTCAGCACATTTTAGCTCACCGGGACAAAAGGCCTGAGGAACTGGTATTATATGTTGTCCATCGGCTATCCATCCGTCTGTTTGTGTGTAGCTGGAAGTTCCTCTTTGAACCGGAGGAAGTAATGAATGGAAGCCTTCAGGAGAATGTCTGACCCCATGGTGGGACTCAGGATAGGACCAGGAGGTTAACATCTACATTTTAATGGATTAGATTAAAGAAAATGTGACAAGTCATACGAAGTAGTATTTTGGGTATGTCACAAATCTTGAGAAGTAGTATTCTGGATATATATATAACAAGTTGTATCTTGGGTATGTCATGAGTTGTAAGAAGTTGTATCTTGGGTATATCATGTGTTGTAAAAAGCTGTATCATAGGTATTTCATGTGTTGTTAGAAGTTGTCTTGTGGGTATTTCATGTGTTGTAAGAAGTTGTCTTGTGGGTATTTCACAAGTCGTAAGAAGTTGTCTTGTGGGTATTTCACAAGTCGTAAGAAGTAGTATCGTGGGTATTTCATAAGTTGTAAGAAGTTGTATTTAGGGTATTTCATGTGTTGTAAGAAGAAAATGGGTCTGGTCTTTAGCTAATTGATCCTGTTCGTGGCTTCGAATTCTGGTTGGCCCTGATTGTTTCTAAGTTTGCTAGCGCCATACCTGTGTTTTACCAAGTGGTAAACGTCTTAGCCCTGTATCCCTGGGGCTTTCCTCCCACGGTAAGCTGACACACCGTGAAGTACTGGAATACTTTGAATCAAAGTGGCATTAAACCCAACTCACTCACTCATTCACAATAGACTGGCCAATGAAATATACATACCCCTGTACTAGTAGACTTATAAAGGGTAATAGTAAAATGCTGTAAATGAAACTAGATCTATTTCTCTTTTAGATTACAGGCATTAGTTAAGTTATATTCAGTATATGTTTATTTTGATTAGTTTAAACAACCAAATCAATGAAGACAATATTGGATGTGCAACTTGATAGCAGTTCAGAACAATCAATTCAGATGATTAATGTGAGCGTCATTGCGTCAGTGTTGTGTCATAATCTAGAATCCTGTAATGAAATACTTATTCAGACAACCAATTATGCCACAATGTGTTTGATTGACAGGTGAATGAGAGGCAATTATGCTGATGTGTGTGCATCATCATCAGAAACACAAGTATACACTGTATCCATCACAGAGGATGTTTATCTAATACTTCCAATAAACCCACAGCTCTGTATGTGGTGTCTGAAATTACTGTGTAAACAGCCAATAATTCACTTGGAATGTCAGTGCAGGGTTTCCATCAGCCAGACCGAGTGGAATGATTTGTTGCAGGTAGCAGTGAATGTTAGGGTCAGTGGGGTTGAGGAGAAATTATAACACTAAGAAGCAGTCCTGAAACAAGAATCTTCCTCAGTTAGAAGCACTTTCACAAACTTACTGAAACCGATTAGTTTCTGGACGCTGGTCATCAAACATACTGCAAGTCCTGGTAACCAGTGTGATGTTGAAAAATAAGGTCTTGGCTCCTTTCCAAAAAGATATCTTAGTTCTTTGACTATCATAACTACAATAGTAGTCTGTCTTACAGACCCTGATACAAATATTTATCAAATAGAGCCCATGCAAGCCTATAATGTTTGGCAAGTCTAGATTACTGCAGTAAATGAAGAGAGTCACTGGGTTCCCTTTTATTATATTTTTATGAAGATAACTGAACAACTGTTTTTTTCTGTATGATATGTTCATTTCAGAGACTAGATGTTAGTCTACTACAATAGTAGCACTGAGACTTCTTTGTGGAGTGAGCCCCTGAATGTAGACTTACTCAAATATATAAGGCAATACTTATTAGTTTAAATCATAATTACTAGATTATATAAATAATAAGAACAAGTTATCCTTATACTAGCATCCTTAGACTGTCCCCTTATCTAGACTTGCCTGTTATCATGGTTATGAGGATAGAATTACAACACATCCATGGACTTATCTTTCATTATAGCCTTGGAGCAAGGCTAACCTGATTCCTACGATTGTTGTAGGTGCATGTCAAAATCTGGGAGTTACGCTAAGCTAAGTTCTTAGTGATATTCTTTGTGGAACTGGGCTCTTGTGAATACATGTACCACTTTTCCATTATTAGTGAAAACAGTCTTCCAGCTGTTTCAATTTATATATTATAAATACATTTGACTTCCCAAATAGAGTTACTGGACAGGGGTCAGTTCTTCCTGCAGTTCAATCTGAATCTTGTCTGAGTCTGATCTTTCATTCAAGTTACATGTAGTGTCGCATTAGACAGGATTCGCCATGGCTACCAATAGGATCAGTATTGTCTAACTCAGTGGGTCTAGACACCTGTGTTGTTAGATCGCATCATACATGATGCATGAAGATGAAATTGACCAATGGCCAATGTTGTTGATATACTTAGCAGGGACAGTCTGACAGGTTTATTTGTAAACTAGGGATGTCAATTGGGTTTATGGTGGATCTGGGTAGAGGTAAGCTGATCTGCGGCCAGGGACTTGCCCAGCTATTGGCGTAAGTAGTAAATAATGAGGTAATCACACTGGTGAGTCCAGTCAGAGCAATTGGCCCATGTTTGTAACACTGGGCTTGGTGGATAGGTGAAATGTACATGACACTGCTGTTAACATCATGTCAAAAGACAATGTGGCTACTTGAGTTAGGGAGGCTACTTCATTGCTGAGCTGAGTGGCTGGATAGATGACATCCATGTATCATTGTTGTACTGACATGTAAGAATGGGCTCCCCACAGAAAACCACCTCAAATGGATCATTTAAAACTTTGAAGAGATGCTTCTTCTAAAAAGCATCTGTATATGATATTTACCCATTGAAATGGCCATTGAAACATGATTCTTACCATTTAAAAAAATTTAAATGTTTTTAACCCATGTTGCTGAATTGGACAGATTTTCTTTTTAAAAGATGTAGGATTTTATTAATTAATGACTGTCTTTATTTATATGGATTAGGTATGCTGTTCAGACAGAAGGTGTGGAGCTATATCAGCGGGCACAACATTTCAAACGTATATACATGGTCTTATTTCCTAGTGCTATGGTTATGGATCCTTATGACCGGTAGTTGTTTTGTCTTTTCCTGATTTCTGTTGGTCATAAACTGTTCAGAAAATTACATTGTTCATGGGAGTATAGAAGTTTTGTAAACTGTTTCTTTTCCTGTTTCAGGTAATTTCCTATACGTGAGCAATGGCACCCATATAATCAAAATCAACAGACTCAACGGACACAAGGCATCAGTCTTCTTCCAGGTGAGATATGGCTGCAATTCATCACTAGTGAAGACGCATTAGTCAATTCTCTGAACATGATTGTATATAAGGCATGTCTCATCGTCAACCAGTACAACTACACACATTCACCACACAGATGACAGTATATAGTGATCAGAACCAGTAATTTTAGGCCTCAGACAGGAGAGTAGTTGGCAGAAAGTAATTGTCAATTCAATTATTATACATCCGGGTTGAAAACCGGGGGAGATATAGACGTGATAGAGATCACCATGTCCGTCTGTCTGTCAGACTTCTGTTTTCTGTTTCCAGAGCAAAATTCCACAACCATTGAAACTTGTATATAGATCAGTCTAGTGGTGAACTGGTACCTTTTGATGATTTTGAAAAATACTGAACAGCATTATTTTTTTCTTCATTGAACTGAAGGTATCCAACGGCAATGAAGCAAAAGTGTGGTATAAGTAGCCAAACTCCATTTCTGAATTGCACCAGACCTGGGGAATATGTCATATCCTGATGACTCTTGTTATGTTTGAAACTAGTCAACATGGTTGAATGTTTCTGATGTAACTTGTAAAAGGTTTCAAATTGTTCTTCAAACTTTCTGTGGACGGAGTGATGTTTATATTTTTCATTCGGACATTGACATCTTTCACGAATAGGACTTGACTGACAGTGGTATAACTATCACATACTACATCGATAATCTCTCAAGGTGATAATGTGTTATGTCAGGGAGGTATACTTTGCAATTTACCTGATCATATGTCTTGTAGAACTCCATCAATGCCTTCTTGTTACTTCCCTCTGCAGTAATGCCTGTTGACTAAGTAGATTGTGACTAAGACACCGTGTGATGAGGAGTCATGATCTTTGATCTCCCATTGACAATATTTGAAATACTTCCAATTCTTCTTTGACCTGAAGGCAAATGTCAGCCCCAATCAAAAGACGTTCAAAGGATTCATGACAAAGTTTTTGCTAAAACACACTTTATTTCCAATCAGTTTATGGGTGAAAGAACCCAGCAATATTGTCTGACCAGCAATCTTGGATGGCATGTATGTAGTCTACTGACTGCATGCTCATGTAGCCAGAATTGGCATCAAAGGCAACAAAAACATGTTGCCCTCAGGTTGGTCAAATGAAACGTGTCAGAAACAGATGAGGCAGGTAATTGTCCTACAAGACTCAGGCCCAACAACGGTTCAAACAGTCATAATACTGGATTGAAAAGGTCACAGGAGTGTGCTAATGTCACTGGCAGAAAAACGGAGGAAGGAAGTGCTCCTTGTTAGGATACAAGGTCCTTTGGGGGTTGCTGGCAATGAAAGTGCAGACCCATTTCTGACAGGATCTCCGGGGTAAACAGCGGAAAAAGGTTGATTAATGGTATCATGTTTTCACACCTGACGAGTGTTAAGTTTTTATCCTGCAAGTACAGTGTTTACAATCAAATTATGTTGCAGGCAGCATTTCTCATTTCTTTGTGATGGAGATTATGCATGTATACTGAATAATGGCTGCTTGCATGGTTAACATTAGTGGAAGGTGTATATTTCTAAAAGTAGTTATAATGGAAGTAGTTTATTGCACTTGAAGTGTGTCTTTATGGTTTCATTTGATGGAGAGCAGTCATATAAGCAATTTATCATGCATTTTCTGTTGTCTTTATAATCAATTAATGTTCATTATGTGTTTGGGTCACATTTACTACACCTGAAAACTGTGTCTGTAGATATGATAAACAGTGGAGTGTATCTCCCATAATGATCCTGTGGTGACATGCATGGGGACTCACTCATGTGGGCACTTGTCTATTGCTTCCAGACTGATATGGGTATGATATTGCTGAGACTTACAATAATTACTCACTGACTTTGTAAATTCTCTTAGGATACTTATTGTTTCACTTCAGTAATAAAGTCAGTGAGTGAGTGAATGTAGTTTTATGTAGTTACTGTTACCAGTATGGGTCCTGGTGGCCTGGAAATAGTTGAGGTTGTACCAGGAGGCCATTGATTATTATTTATTAGAAGTTATGAGCAAAGTTTGACATCAGTCTGAACACACAATCCAACAAGTCACTCAGTCTGACCACACAATCCAACAAGTCACTCAGTCTGACCACACAATCCAACAAGTCACTCAGTCTGACAACACATTCCAACAGGTCACTGAGTCTGACAACACATTCCAACAAGTCACTGAGTCTGACAACACATTCCAACAAGTCACTCAGTCTGACAACACATTCCAACAAGTCACTCAGTCTGACAACACATTCCAACAAGTCACTCAGTCTGACCACACATTCCAACAGGTCACTCAATCTGACCACACAATCCAACAAGTCACTGAGTCGAATGGCACAGTCAAACAAGTCACTGAGTCGGACCACACAATCAAACAAGTCACTGAATCTGACTCAATTATTTACAGGCCCTTTCATCATTTAGCTGACATAATGTTAAGTTTGACATAAAACAACATTCATTTACACAAGTTTATCAAAAATCATGGAACTGGAAGACCATTTGATCTTCTGCTCAAGAATACATGTATGTCTTTTGAACTTGCAGCTGTAAGAGTGACTAGGACAGGGTCAGGTAGTTTGTGACACACAACAGACCAGGTGCCATCCAGTGACTAGGACAGGGTCATGTAGTTTGTGACACACAACAGACCAGGTGCCATCCAGTGACTAGGACAGGGTCAGGTAGTTTGTTACACACAACAGACCAGGTGCCATCGAGTGACGAGGGCAGGATCAGGTAGTTTGTGACACACAACAGACCAGGTGCCATCCAGTCACTAGGACAGGGTCAGGTAGTTTGTGACACACAACAGACCAGGTGCCATCCAGTGACTAGGACAGGGTCAGGTAGTTTGTGACACACAACAGACCAGGTGCCATCCAGTGACTAGGGCAGGGTCAGGTAGTTTGTGACACACAACAGACCAGGTGCCATCCAGTGACTAGGACAGGGTCAGGTAGTTTGTGACACACAACAGACCAGGTGCCATCCAGTGACTAGGACAGGGTCAGGTAGTTTGTGACACACAACAGACCAGGTGCCATAGAAATCCAATGACCTAATTTCAGTGTTCACATGAAGGCCTTCTGTCTGACAGAGAGGAGATGGCTGCTTTTAAAACATCGAATCTGTACAGTTGCTTGTTTTGTCAAATGTGTATTTTCAGAGGATATTTTGTTGTATTAATGGACTGTGTGGAGAGTAAATTGTCAGATTTTCTGGGCAGGGTTTTTAGAATGATTATTGTTTACAAACATTACGTCACCACCAAAAAATGTATCCTTGTTTCAAATGAATTGCAGTAATTATCAAAGCAACGTCAACACTTTGCCTGGTTGTTGCCTGCTATCATCAGGGGTCCTGGCTTCTACTTTTTTTCTATCTAATTGGCCCTAAAGGAAGTACTTGTAATAAGAAAACATGTGTATTTATTTTCTGCTATGGATATCCTGCTCATAAGTTGTGTGTTTCCTTCATAAGTTACACAAAAACAAACGTAATCCAGTTTGTCTGAAATCACTGTGGCCATGTTACAAACTTGCATTTCCCTGGGTGAAAGATTTAGGTTCAGAATATGTTAAAAAAATTAACAGCTTTCATATATCATGTTGTAATGTCTCATTTTCAGTGTTCATGGTATTATGTTAATTTCCAACAGGAATTGAAATGTAACCAGTAGATGCGTTTGTGTAGACATGATGCCTGTCGAGGAGGTTGCTGCAGCGTGAGAGGTTGAGAACATCAAGGGAATGCTATGACACAACCTGCACTTGCTGCATCTTTCTCTGTGCAAGCAACTGGCAATACTACTGGGTCTATTCAACACAACTCTAAAGTCAGCCCTCCAGTCCAGCCACTTTCAAAATAGCATTTTTCACACGAAAACACATCATCATTGAACATTCCCCAGTGTATTCAGTGCACTGAATAAATTTCTTAAAACTATAATCATGTCTGCAAAATCTCAGGAGAGAAATTGCTAGTTTGATGAAATGGCCCTTGCTTGTCTCTCTGCCAGCTCTGCACCTTTTTTGCCTCTTTGTATGAATTTGTTGTCATTCAACTAGATTTTGTATGCTAATGTCAACCTTGTTTTGTAGAATAATGATAATTGGGGCAATTAAGATAACTCCTGTCCTTCTAGCCTTGTATTTAGTAGTTTTGTAGGTCATTTGTTGGTCTAGACATGCTGTGGTGGTGTGCTGCTGTAACAGTGGGCTGTATTTGTGGATCTAGAAATGCTGGGCTGTATTTGTGGGTGAGACATGCTGGGCTGTATTTGTGGGTCTAGACATGCTGGGCTGTATTTGTGGATCTAGACATCCTGGGCTGTATTTATGGGTCTAGACATGCTGTGGTGGTGTGCTGCTGTAACAGTTGGCTGTATTTGTGAATCTAGACATGCTGGGCTGTATTTGTGAATCTAGACATGCTGGGCTGTATTTGTGGGTCTAGACATGCTGGGCTGTATTTGTGGGTCTAGACATGCTGGGCTGTATTTGTGGGTCTAGACATGCTGGGCTGTATTTGTGGGTCTAGACATGCTGGGCTGTATTTGTGGGTCTAGACATGCTGGGCTGTATTTGTGGGTCTAGACATGCTGGGCTGTATTTGTGGATCTAGACATGCTGGGCTGTATTTGTGGGTCTAGACATGCTATGCTGTATTTGTGGGTCTAGACATGCATGGCTGTATTTGAGGGTCTAGACATGCTGGGCTGTATTTGTGGGTCTAGACATGCTGTGGTGGTGTGCTGCTGTAACAGTGGGCTGTATTTGTGGATCTAGAAATGCTGGGCTGTATTTGTGGGTCTAGACATGCTGGGCTGTATTTGTGAATCTAGACATGCTGGGCTGTATTTGTGAATCTAGACATGCTGGGCTGTATTTGTGGATCTAGACATGCTGGGCTGTATTTGTGAATCTAGACATGCTGGGCTGTATTTGTGAATCTAGACATGCTGGGCTGTATTTGAGG